CATGATCCGGACCTATCCTGGTTTCGGCGATCAGAGTACAGAGGGGGTATCCCATCTCCCACTCCGGCGACATGAACACCCGATCCAACACCGAGCGGACCGGGGCTAGTTGCTTGTTTGTCCATGTAAATCTCGCGCCAGACCTGGCCACTTCCGTAAGTGCCATGGAGGCAATGTCAATGTTAAACATGGTCACCCTAGGCCAGTTTATATTACTGTTGTTTTGTCCGCTCCCGAACGGATCAGGTTGAAATCCCCTCCCACGAGGACCGGAGTCGCCGTTGCAGTCACCGCAGTGACCTTGGCTTGGAGTTCTCCCAAGAACTCCGCCGATCTTGCGTGATCAGCCGGGCCGTAGACCTGAATGACTACAAGCTCACGGAGCAAAGCGTAGATGCGGAAGTGAGCTGCAATGAAGAAAAGCCCCACGTCCCAGGAGATAACCTCAAACATATCACGACGCAAACCCAAAAGCATACCCCGAGTGCCCAACCGCGGGTACATGCTGCCACTCAAAGTGCTCTAGCGGGTCAATCGAGAGCAGCTCATGAAAGCGGAACTCTGCCCTGATAGTCTCTTGTAGACCTACGATATCGACGTCCTCAGAGCGGATGTAATCCTTAAGCTGAGTGCGGCGCCCCGCGTGGCCGAAACCCCGGATATTCCAAAAAAGAACTCACATCTAGATCACGCGATTATGGAGACGGACCCCTCTCGAGGTAACCGCTTTGCCACGCGCCTCGCCTTGCCCCTGCTCAGCGAGGAAGAGGGAGCAACCCCTGTTGCCTGACCCCTCTCATCGGGCACAGAGGGAGCAGCAGCATCCCCTCCCTCGGGGGGCTCTGTCCTATGATCAGCACGCGCTACAACCGCAGCCGCCAGCGCTGCCTGCGCCAATTTCTTAGCGCGAACCAGCGAAATCAATTCCCGGGCGCCCCCACGCATGAGGGGCCGACCCCGCTTGCATCCAACACCTCATGCAAATGCTCGTCAGAAAAGGAGTCTAAGACCGTGAAGCGTGGGGGTGGATTACCTGAAATCTCCATGTTCTTCTGAGCCTGGAGCAGCTGCGCCCGCTGCAGGCATGTTCCCTTTGTCCCCCTTGGAACGCGAGCTGGTGCGCACCGGACCCGCCAGCGCCGTCTTAGTCCTCTTGGCCTTGGTAATCTCCGCCGCCTTGGAGGCCTCCTATAGCAGCTGGTGACCGGAAGGAGGCGCAGTCGGGGCAGCCAACGCCATGACCGACTGCCGCGGGGTCGAGGGCGCGTCCAGCGGCTCCATCAAGCGCACCGCATCCGCCTCCGCCGCCACCATGCGCACCGCCACCTTCTTCATGAGCTTCACCGAACCACTCAAAGCACCACCATGGCTGCCCGACACAGGGGACCGTGCGGAGAGGAGGAGTGAGGGGCTGGGGGAGCGAGCCCGCGGGGAGCGGTCTTCGCCCGCACGTGAAACCATAGCAGGGTCCAAAACCAGGGGTGGCAAGGTCACCGAGCCCAAGTTGGACCCATACTGGTTCGGGATCGCGATCGCCGCCTCGGCAGGCCGGCACACTGCCACCACCCGCGGCTCCACCACAGCGGCCACCGGCGCCGCAGGGCCCGACGCCGAGATTCCAAGCCTGTCCCACGCCGCCGTGTCAATAGTCATCCTCCATGCTTGCGTCGGGGTCCTGTGCCTTGTCCTCCGGCTTGTCCTTGTCGTGGTCGCGCGGGTCCTTGTCGTTGGAAGGCGGAGGTGGGGGAGGAAGGGCTGGGGCGGCTTGGCGTCTCGCCTCCAGCTCCGGCTCGAGCTTGACGTTGTAGCCATCACCGTTGAACCAAATCTGCACCGAGCCGCGCAGCTTGGCCGACGACGACACGCAAAGCGCATGCACACCGGACCCGAGCGGATCAGTGAGAGTTCGTCCACCACTAGTGGCCGCCCAATCATGGTCGTGGCCGCCATTAGCCGCTCCACGCGCCGCTGCTTCAGAGGGATACCCCACATCTTGAGCCACACCTCGGTCATGGACAGGGCCTTGGGCTCGGCGAGGACAGCGTCGCGGATATCCGCCATGATATTGTTGATGGAGAGGAAAAGCTTGCCGCTGCTCGTCGCCATCCGGAGCATGACCGGGTCAGGGAAGGCCACCGAGAAATAGTCCGCGTCGAAAGGCGTCACCTGCCAGTCCCATTCTCCCTCGAAGAGATGAGGTAGCTCTGCCTCTAAGATTTCTTTGGTCAAGACCCCGGGCGCCGCCGAGACCAAGGCCGCGTTGGCACCCAAGAGACTCTCTGCAGCCGAATCCGCCTCTGCGGGATATTGAAGACAAAAGAAGCCACCACCGGAGAAGGCATGCCCCATGGATTGCAGCAGCGGCGGCTTGCCTCACATGGGACAGTTGGGCGAGGCGTGCCCTTCTAGACAGCAAAGAACGCACAACTGCTTGAAGGTGCAGTGGATCTGGTAGTGTCCCGCACGCCCGCACTTGAAGCACTCGGGGCCGTCCGCCTCCTCGACGGGGATGGGCTCCACCGCCGTGCCCTTGGAGGAGGAAGGCTTGGAAGCCTCCGGACCCGCCATCTTGTGCTTCTTCTGCTTCTGGTTGGAGAAGGGGTCGCCGACGCGGTCGCCACAGTGGGGGTGGAGCTCATCCTTGCGCTTGAGCTCCAGTCCCCGCTTCTCGTGCTCCTCCTTGCGCTTCTTCTTGCGCTCCTGCTCTTTGAGCCACCAGGAAGGCGGAGGCCCTCATCCTCCTTCCTCACCCGCGCGCTCCGCCGCACGCTCCATCGCCGGAGGGCGCGAATCTCGCTCACGCCTGTGCTCCGCCACCGGATCCACCGCCACCTGCTTGTCCGCACGCCGCTCCGCCTTGGAACCCATGGCCACCACCTCGACGAAGGAGCGGACGAGGGGTGGAGGGGGAGAAAGAGGGTGGAAGGAGCGAGCAGATCCGCTGAAGCACCGCACCTCCGAATGGGTGGCTGGAAACCCTAACGAGCAGTCTAGGGCACTCTGCGGGATCCAGAGCCACTCATATACCTGGCCAGCCACATGCGAGCCAGAATTAGCAGGCCTAGGCCGAGCAACGCGGCCACCACCACCGACTCCGCGGCCATCACGAGGGGTCCTGGAGCCGGGGCCACAGACGGGCCACCTGGGCCACACCTGGGGGTGCAGCCCACCACCAGCGCCCGGCCCAACGGCCCATCCGAGCCACCCGAGCCAATCCTAGGCCAGGGGTCCGGCTCCTCCGCCGCCATCGCCTGCTCCACCGCCAACACCGCCGCCGCAGGCATCGCCACCTGCCGCGGCGCGGCCGGCGCGGACGCCTGGCCACTCAAGGGTGCGGTGGACACACCGACCGCACGTCTCGTTGCGCCCTACGACGGCGCCCTCGACGACGCCACGGTGCCCCTCTGCGGTGCCCGACCAGACGCCCCTGGTCGCCGGGCACCACGCCCGCCCGGCGCGAATGCGGTGCGCCGGCCGGCTATGAGGGAGCCCCCGAGCTCCTCCGCCCTGGCCACGAATGCACCGACTGTCGCCCGAGTGCCGCCACCACCATTGATCGCGGCCGCATCGACCGCCACCGCCTGATCCTCGTCGTCGCTCTCCTCGGCCAACGCCCAAAACCGGCTCCCCTTCCAGCCCGCAGATGGCACCGCCCCCTCCGTCTCCGTCGGGGCCACGCTCGTCGACCGCCCGGACGCCTGAACAGCCGACCATCCATCCGCTGCGCCGGATCCCTCGCGCCCCGGCGCATCGCCCGGCCCGTCGCCACCCAGATCGCGAGGCCGTACAGGAGCCGTTGGGACTAACCTATCCATCTATGATTCTGTTGCTACTACTCTATTTTCCTTTGTGTTCCAAACATTTAAAATATGCATATATTATAGTAAATGGAATTAGATAGAACATAAACAAGGAGAAAATTTCTGCTAAGTACTAGAAGTATGTATTAAGTGGTATGAAGAATCATGTGTAAGTAGAAGAAAGAGGCTACATGACATTGGAACTGTATCTGTGTGTTCAATTCTGAAAAGAAAGGAACCATGTGCATCCACACAGGTAGTGATTGGCAACTTCAGTTATTTGATATTTCCAGCAAGCATTTCCAACAGTCAACCAAACAACAACATTGGAACCGTATCAAATTCAAATTTTCAATCCCGGAGATGAACTGGAATCTGCACTTCAGTTCAGACCAATTCAATTCCTGCAACCAAATAGAGCCTCAGAGATTTTCTGCAAACATTTGTTGCTGAAAGTTGATCATGATATGGTTGATGATGGCCACTCCTACACAACAGCTGTTGCATCATGTATGGTTGAGGCTGACGAGCGATGGCTACAGGTCCTGAGTACCTAGGAAACAGCCCATGACATCAGCTCAAAGTGCCGCTTCTTGTTGCCCCAAGGCCAAGGTTATCTATCCATTCTCTACTTTAATGCCACTTCTTTGTGAAGGTTCATTAGTCAACCGAATGCAACATGCTTGACAGGGATGCTCGAGCCTATTTCTTCTTCTTCTTCTTCTTTGTCACTCTACGTGTAAACACATGAGGAGCACAGGATCAGGTCGAGTCGAACATAGGATAGGAGTAGTACGAACGGCGTCCAGAGGAAATTATATCAGTATCACCGGAGTATTGTCCTGGTCAAATGGGCACGAGCGCTTCCAGTAATTAAGTAGCCCAGTTGCTCCTCCCATCTTTCCCGGACACGTCTGGCCGCGCTGCCGTGCCGAGCATATCCACGCTACGCTACACCGACGTGGAAGCCCGCACCGCACCTCATCCGGCACGCCTCCCACCGACTTCCTTCCGCCTATTTCAATCCCCTGGCCGCGCACCGGATGCCGCCTCCCATATCCCTCAACCATCTCTAACAACCATCCGTGGGCGGTGCAATCTGTTTGTATCCGTCGGTCGCTCCCGACGACCGAGAAGAGCTAGCGCCGTTGCTCGGCGGAGATCACGCGCCGGTCGCAGAGGCGGAGTAGAGAAGAGAGGATGGACCACGCGGCGGAGGCGCAGCGGACGGACCTGATGACGATCACGCGGCACGCGCTGAACGAGCAGGGGCGGCACCCGGAGTCCCGGGGCGACTTCACCATCCTCCTCTCCCACATCGTCCTCGGCTGCAAGTTCGTCGCCTCCGCCGTCAACAAGGCCGGCCTCGCCAAGCTCATCGGCCTCGCCGGCGAGACCAACGTCCAGGCAAGCGATCCAGCACACATGATCCAAGTCCTCGAGTCGAGTCCCTTTCTCGCCTTGTTTATTAATGTCTGCGCGCGCGGTTGACGGGCGAGCAGGGGGAGGAGCAGAAGAAGCTGGACGTGCTCTCCAACGAGGTCTTTGTCAAGGCGCTCGTCAGCAGCGGCCGCACCGTAATGCACTCTTGTCACACTCCAGCACATATCTTCCTGGTAGTGAAGTAAACAATCCGTAGCTAGGATCTGACTTTTGTGTGCCTTCGCAGTGTGTCCTCGTGTCTGAAGAGAACGAGGCGGCCATCTTCGTCGACGCGCCCCTCCGCGGGAAGTACTGCGTGTGCTTCGATCCGCTGGACGGCTCCTCCAACATCGACTGCGGCGTCTCCATCGGGACGGTAATGCGCTCCTCTGACTCTGCTTCTCCGAGCAGAGCTGCTGCCTGTTCGACTGGTTCAGTACACCCTTCAATAACAAAGGTACCATGTCTGCTGGTTACTCACCGCTATCTGATCGGCGTTTCTCTGTTCTACAGATCTTTGGGATCTACATGATCAAAGACAAGGACAACGCGACTCTGGAGGACGTGCTGCAACCCGGGACTGACATGATCGCCGCTGGCTACTGCATGTACGGGAGCTCATGCACGGTAATTATGTTCCCTGATGTATTCTCACTCCCGTGACTTTACTCCCACCTCTTCATCCTAGATTCAACGCTGTTCTGGTTTACCGCAGCTTGTGTTGAGCACCGGGAACGGTGTTAATGGCTTCACTCTTGATCCTTCCCTTGGGGAGTTCATACTTACCCATCCCAACATAAAGGTTTGTGATGCAGGTCACAACAACGCACTTCTTCTTTCTAAAATTTATTCATTGATCTGCAACAAAAGACTAGCTGAAATCCTACTATATGTGTGCTTAACTCTTCTTGGTTGTGCAGATACCAAACAAAGGGAAGATCTATTCGGTCAATGAAGGGAACGCCAGAAACTGGGACGCGCCCACAGCAAAGTATGTACAGTACTTACTAGATCACATTCAAGTCCACAAACATCACAGGAAGTCAAGCTGAATTCTCCAGCCAACATTGCAGGTACGTGGAGAGATGCAAGTTTCCCCAAGACGGCTCATCACCAAAATCCTTGAGATACATTGGAAGGTGAGTGCCAGTCTCTCAGCTGTTTCTCTGACATCAAAACCGAAACTCTTCCACAGCTAATTCAGCCCGACTCCGACTGCCCCTGTTTTTTTACTGAACCAAATGATTTTGTCATGTTACTCCACGCTCCACAGCATGGTTGCCGATGTTCATCGTACCCTGCTCTACGGAGGCATATTTCTGTACCCCGCCGACAAGAAGAGCCCCAACGGGAAGCTTCGGTACGCTGATGCTTATTAGCAGCCTCCTTCCTTCGTGGTATCCTCAGCTGATTACGCTTATCCATGTGCATTCCTGAGGCTGGTGACATGTCGTATTTTCAGTGTTCTGTACGAGGTTTTCCCCATGTCGTTCCTGATGGAGCAAGCCGGAGGCCAGTCTTTCACCGGCAAACAGCGTGTAAGGCCACTGAATTCACCAAATCCCTTTTTATCAGAGCAACACTTTCTACCTTGATACTATGCCACTTCGTCTGATTCAGAGCATGGGCTATTTTACAATATTGTAGTAGTATCTTAACTTCATGTTATTGCTGATCTTTGGCGTGCTGTAACTGAAAAATGGTTTGCTGCGTTTGCATTGCAGGCCCTTGAAATCGTTCCTGCTGAGATACACCAGAGGTCTCCGATATTCCTCGGGAGCTACGATGATGTGGAGGAGATTAAATCACTGTACGCTTCGGAGTCGAGCACCGCCTGATCTGAGTACCCGAAGACACATACACATGCTCTGCATCGTGTTCCGCGTTGTGACAAAACTCCCTAGGTAGTGTTACATGGTGATTCTGAGATCTTTGTCATGGCCTCGATGTAACAATACCTGTGTATACATATATTTGACATATTGCACGTCATTTTAATAAGTATCCCCTGTAAAGAAATATAAGATCGTTTAGAATACTAAATATAAGATAGTATTCTAAACGATTTTATACTTCTTTACAGAGGAAGTACTCCAAGAGAGGGGAACAATTCTAACAAGTGATCGATTGGGTTTTGACCAAATTTTGTTTTGCACTTCCGATCACGGACCACACCCCCTTACTTTTCTCTCATGGCTGGCAGCCAAGATCAATTCCAACATATATATATATGTAGTTCATCATTATCAACAAGCCCCCGCGCTGTCCCCCGCTTGGGCGGCTCGGGCGGAGCTGCCCTACCAAGCCGTCGGGGCGCCCTTCCCCTGATTCCTTCCTTCGTCACCGTTGGAGGAAGCCGCCGGGCGAAGCCTGGCCAACCGACAGCGATGGCGGAGGTGCTCTCCTCCTCCCTGCATCGGGTCTAGATGGGGCGGGGCATCCACCCGCGCGGCGGTTGCGGGCGGGGGGTGCGGGGCGGCGGCGGCCAGGCAGGCAGCGGCGGACGACGACAGGTCCAACGACAGCGGCTTGGGCACCCGATCTAGGCCCAGATGGGCTTCGGTGGGCCGCACTTGCTGATCTCATGTACCGTCCCGTCAATGGCTTGCTGCCCCTGGGATCGACCCGTAACTCGAGGGCGTCGGGGGCTCCGACCTGGGCGTGGCGGTGGTGGCCACCCCCTTCGCCGGAGATGGTCGGCCTAAGGCTGGGTTGTCGGATTTCCAGATCCGTCATCTAGTCCCGACTGCGAGTTGGGGAGACAGAGTTGCCGGTGAAAACCGAGCCAATGGCAGGCGATGGCGGCGTTTTGTGTCGTTACCTTGATGAAGGCATCGTCGTATAACTTCTGTCGACCCATTCGTGTTGCTTCGGGGTGTTAAACGTGCTATGATGCACCGGCGCATGAGGTAGTTAGGATAGATAGAGATAGATTATTTTCCTTTCTCTCCAAGTCCTATCTCCTCCTTGAATATCTCTCTCTCATATGTAATCTCAACTATATTGTATGCGCAATGGTTGGTAGGTGCGCCCCACTATATAACACGAACCCGTCGGCCTCAATAGGCTAAGACGTTTTCAGCTATCGCACATGGTAGTCAGAGCAATCCTTTTCCCATCTAAGCTCCATGCAAACTCCATCTAGCCCTAGCCATGTCTTCCTCCTCCGACGCCTCCCAAACCAGCCTCAATGCCCAGGTTACCGAGAAGCTGACGCGCACAAACTATGTGCTATGGCGCACGCAAGTCATTCCCCATCTGCGTGGCACCGGTGTCGTCGGCTATGTCGACGGCCCCAACCGGAGCCGGCGAGACTCCTCGTCACCACCAAGGAAGGCAAGGAGACTTCATCGCCCAACCCTCTCCACCCAATCTAGGTCAGGGAGGATCAGCAGGTCCTTGTATACCCGCTGAACAATCTGACGCGCGAGGTGCTGCTCACGGTGACCACAGTCACCACCTCGGGCGCGCTTTGGTCGACGCTCGCTAGTATGTTCTCGTCGCAATCTGCAAGCCGCATCAACAACATCATAACATCCCTCATCAACGCGCAGAAGGGGAACCTCCCCGTCGCCTCCTACTTCGCCGCCATGCGCGGCTACGCCAACGAGCTAGCCGCCGTGGGCAAGGCGATCCCCGACGACGAACTCGCCTCCTACATCATCCACGTGCCCGACGCAGACTATCAGCCCCGAGTCTCTGCCCTCGACGCTCGCGTCACCCAGGTAACCCTTGATGAACTCTTTGCCATGCTATCCAACTTCGATCAGCGCATGGCTCAGTTCCAAGGATCTGGAGGCGACGGCTTCAAATCATCCGCCAACGTTGATGGGGTCATGTACCTAGGGTAGGGTCACAGACCTGATCTAAGTATCCTGCCCAAGGACACCCTTAGAAGAGGTCACCTTCCAGTCGACCAACGAGGGACTCACTCGACTGACTTGAAGGACTCGACCACGAAGACTCACTCGACCACAAGAAGGTCAAGAGGCACTCTGCACTGCAACGGCCTGTAATTAAGTAGACTTTATGATAGTAAAGATACTTTATGTGGGGTGTTACCAGTAACGCCCCAGACTTAACTCACCTTAAACCCTCTCCTACGTGGGCTGGCTGGGGTCCTGGCGCACTCTATATAAGCCACCCCCCTCCACAGGTAGAAGGGTTCGGCACCCTGTAACTTGTATACATATAATCCACTCGACCGCCTCTGGGCTCCGAGACGTAGGGCTTTTACTTCTTCCGAGAAGGGCCTGAACTCGTACATCCCCTGTGTTTACAACCTCTCCATAGCTAGGACCTTGCCTCTCCATACCTACCCCCCACTCTACTGTCAGGCTTAGAACCACGACAGTTGACGCCCACCTTGGGGCCGGTGTTTTAGCGATTTTGTGGAGAAGTTGCGATTCTTCCGAGTACTTTCATCATGGTGGCTGCTGGAGTTTTGGTCGAGGGTCGAGAGATCCGTCTCGGCACTCTCGTCTTCATCGCCGACGACTCCGCCTGGCTTCAGGAGGCTCCACTCGATGTTGATGTGCTCCCCGTCCGCGGTGCGACGTATTTTCGCGCATGTGTCCGCGGCGTTCTGCTGCGGCAACCGTCGACCCCGTACCGGTCGACATCCCCATCGACCACCTTCCCGGTCTCCCGCCAGCACAAGCGCTCGGGCCGGTCGAGGATTCAGCGGTGGGTGAGGCACGCGGTGGCTCGCCAAATGGCCACCACCCAAGTTGCAGCAATCGAGCCCGACGAATCTCTTTACGGCCTATTCGATCTGTCGACTGGTTCCGTAGAGACCGCATCCGAGTGCGATAGCAGTGATCCAGCGGCAGAAATTCTGATGGTCGACGGGCCCCGCAGTCCCCCTGGCTTCGCCCGTGATGGTGGAGTAGGCGACGGAGGCGACCCCGCACGAGACCACGAAGAGTACCAGCCCGAGCCACTCGACTCTCTGCAAAGAGAGGAACTTCGCCGCAGGAACGCGGATGCCCTGCATACTCCCATCGCAGGAGAAACCCCTGAGGCTCGCGCCTTGGAGGAGGCACGTTTGCCCAATTTGGCCGAACGCACTCGGCTGGAGAATCTTCAGCGAGCACTCGACGAGCGCGCGCGGCAACGAGTTCCTGACACCAGTCGACGTCAACTCTTCCCGCCGACTCAGGTATATCGAACCCCAATCCAGAATTTAGTAGCTGCGACCCGTATAGCAGAGTCCATCCAGCCTTCTCAGTCGGAAGCTGGCAGAGGCTTGATGCAGATCAGGGATCTGCTCCGGGCAGCAGGAGATCAGAATTCGGCCGTGTCGCAGTCGCGCAACAGAATTCACAGTCGATCCGTCGCTGCGAATACGGTTCAGTCGGCTCACAGCCCCAGATCGCCGCCGCGGCGTGAAGGGCGCGAGAATCGGCGAGACCGATATGGTGACCGACTCGACCGAGATGATAGGCGTCGAGTGCCCAATTCCCCTCCGAGGGGTGGGTCTTACGCTCCTTGGCAGCAAGATGACAGGCGTCAGTTCAGTACGGGGCGAAGAGTTCCAGTCGACCCCAGAGAACCAGGCTTCGACGCGTGATCCATTATCGTGCAAGGTTTGGTCGACCGGAGCAGAGCCCATCGAGGCGGACTCGACAGAGATGCGCCCACAAGTAGTCGAGTGCATGTTTCTAGTCCTGAATGTTTCAGCAGAGCTATCAGAGCCGCAGTTATCCCTCCCAATTTCAGGTTGGCAACAGGAGTCAGCAAGTTCACTGGCGAGTCTAAGCCCGAAACTTGGCTTGAGGACTACCGAGTGGCAGTTCAGATTGGTGGTGGGAACGACGAGGTGGCCATGAAGCATTTGCCCCTCATGCTGGAAGGTTCTGCCAGGGCATGGTTGACTCAATTACCTCCTAGCAGCATTTACACTTGGGAAGATCTGTCCCGAGTGTTCATCAGAACGTTTGAAGGAACTTGCAAGCGACCAGCTGGACTGACAGAGTTGCAAGTCTGCGTGCAGAAGACCAATGAGACTCTCAGAGAGTATATTCAGAGATGGATCACTTTGCACCATACTGTGGAGAATGTGTCTGATCATCAGGCAGTCTGCGCCTTTAAAGATGGCGTCAAGAACAGAGAATTGAGCTTGAAGTTTGGTCGAACCGGTGGCATGACCTTGAGTCGGATGATGGAGATTGCTACCAAGTACGCCAACGGCGAAGAAGAAGACCGACTCCGAAGCGGCAAGCACAAGCCGAGCCAGTCGGAAAAGGGAAACACCAGTCGGAAACAGAAGCGGAAGGCTGAACCGGCAGCTCCTAGAGAGGCTCTGGCCGTGACTCAAGGAAAGTTTAAAGGGAAACCAAAAGGATCCTGGAACCCTAAGAAGGTGAAGGATAAGGAAGGGAACGACGTGATGGATATGCCGTGTCACATCCACACGAAGAAAGACGAAGAGGGGAATATCATCTACCCGAAGCATACCACTCGCCAATGTCGACTCCTGATCCAGCAGTTTTAGGGAAAACAGTCTAAGGACAAGGAGAAGGAGTCGGACAAGGCCGAAGAGAAGGAGGACAGTGAGGAAGGATATCCGCATATCAACTCCACTCTGATGATCTTTGCAGATGTGGAAAGCAAGAGTCGATTGAAAGTCATTAACCGAGAAGTGAACATGGTTGCCCCAGCAAAAGCAAATTATCTGAAATGGTCCCAAATACCCATCACATTCGACCAATCTGATCACCCGACTCATATAGCCACCCCTGGGAGGCAAGCTTTGGTGGTCGATCCAGTTGTCGAAGGCACCCGACTGACAAAAGTGCTGATGGACGGTGGAAGCGGGCTGAATTTGTTGTATGCA